GTGGAACCCTCTCCCAAGACAGACTCTTGGAAGGAGGGTGTGCTAGGCACTGTGTGCGGCCCAGGTTTCCCTCTGCACAGCGCTGGGCCTTCACCCTCGGTCCCTGAAGGATCTTCTACCTGTAAGAGTCACCATGCCTGTGGCCACTTCCCTTCCAGAGGCAGCACACATCCTGACTGACCAGCTCGCGGGAGAATGAAGGTTCAGCATACTTAACCTTTGCTGGAACAGCTTTGAAGGTTGTCTCCTTACAGCTTGCTGTAGGCCTCTGTAAAGACTGTCTGCCCAATCCTCTTTTCTTCTTCCCATTCTCAGGTTCTGGCTCCTACAATAAATCTCCTGTATGTTCAGCTCTAGCCTGTGGTCTTGAGAAGCCTGATATCCAAGTGTCAGTGCTGGGACTGCTTGAAGAACAGATGTTGGAATGATGTGGGTCCCTCACCACCCAGCTGCTAATAAAGACAGTATCCATCACTTGCTAAGTGGAACTCAGGAAAGTTTCTAACAAAATGACATGATAGAAAAGAAAATGTATTCCCTGGCTTAGTGAACTGGAGAATTTTAGTTGTTCTGTTAAGACAAGGTTTCATTCTGCAGTTCAGGCTGCCCTGCACCTTACTGTCTGTCTGGACCTTACCGTCTGGACTGTCTGGACCTTACCATCTGGACTGTCTGGATCTTACCGTCTGGATCTTACTGTCTGGATCTTAACTGTCTGGATTTTACTGCCTGCACCTTACTGTCTGGACCTTACTGTCTGGACTGTCTGGATCTTACTGTCTGGACTGTCTGGATCTTACTGTCTGGACTGTCTGGACCTTGCTGTCTGGACTGTCTGGATCTTACTGTCTGGATCTTAACTGTCTGGATTTTACTGCCTTCACCTTACTGTCTGGACTGTCTGGACCTTACTGTCTGGACTGTCTGGATCTTACTGTCTGGACTGTCTGGACCTTACTGTCTGGACTGTCTGGACCTTGCTGTCTGGATCTTACTGTCTGGACTGTCTGGACCTTACCGTCTGGACTGTCTGGATCTTACTGTCTGGACCTTACTGTCTGGATCTTACTGTCTGGATCTTACTGTCTGGACCTTACTGTCTGGACTGTCTGGATCTTACTGTCTGGACTGTCTGGATCTTACTGTCTGGACTGTCTGGACTGTCTGGATCTTACTGTCTGGACCTTACTGTCTGGACCTTACTGTCTGGACGGCCTGGCTCACGCCAGCCTTAAATGCACAGCAATCCTCTTGCTTTGCCTTCTCACATGCTAAGACTACAAGCAGGAGCCACAGAATCTAGCCTGTGAATCAGTCTTTTGGAAAATGCTAGAGAAATGTTAATTGTAAGGATAAGAGAATGAGCTAGGTGTTGCTTAGCCTTACCAATATTCTGAGGGGAAAAAAAAAAAAAACACAAAAAGATGAAAACAATTCATTGACGGAAAAACTTTAAAAATGATGGTCTAAGTGAGGTAGAAATGCTTTAATTGACAGAAACAATTTGTGCCTTCACAGAGTAGGCATTGAGAAGATGCATATAAAGAACAGAATCTCCACCAAGTAACTGTTCCATGGACTCTCAGAGGACATGAGATTTACTAAAGCAATGAGGAATGTAAGGTGAAGGAAGAATTGGGATGTCCCAGGAGATCATGAAAGATCTTCCGTACAGACCACGGCTGGCCAAGGAAATAGCCCTTCTTAGCAGGCCCCATAAATAACAAGATGTTAGCTAGAAGGCGCCCTGTAAAACAGACACAGGAGACAAGTGCTGCCAGAGGAGGTCAGGCCTTTAATTCCAGCACCTGGGAGGCAGACGCAGGTGGATCTCTGTGAGTTAAGGGCCAGCCTGGTCTACAAAGTGAGTTCCAGAACAGCCAGGGATACACAGAGAAACCCTGTCTCCAGGGAGGGGTGTGGGGTGAGGAGTGGGGCAGACAAAAAGAGACAGAAAGAAATGATGTGATAGGGTACTGGGTTGTCTTCACAGCTGTGGGAGTGGTTTTGATGACCATAAAGCTTCTCTGGAGTAGGTATCTGTGGTTAAGCTTACTGTCAGCCTCCCCTGTGTGAATGTGCCACCTCCACCCTACCCCCCAGGAAGTGAACTTCAGGGTGGTCCCCACTTCTTGGAAGTGTCTGCTTTCATTCAGCCACCAGAAGCTCCACAAAGGTCTTTCAGCATCACTGAAACACCTTCAGTTTAAAAATATTCTTTATATATTTATTCTGGGTTTCTGAGTCTGTTAGTGGTATTGAGGGACCACCTGGGAATGAGAAAAACAACTGATTATTTGAATTGAAGTCAGGTGCAGATAGCTCTTGAAGGGCGGGGTGAACTGTTCTGAGAAACTACAACCAGCTGTAAACTATAGAGCAAAAGTGATCTGATTTTCAGGTATAAAAACCCTGTGCTTTGCATGTTCGGGGTAGTTTCCTATCTTTGGAGGGGCGATAGCAATAAAACCTCTTACTTTTGCATCGAGCTATTGGTCTGTGAGAGTTCCTGGGAAGGGCGCGATCCTGAGCAATGAGACTCCAGGTCTTACAGTAACAGGTTTAAATCTGAAGAATTGGGACGGGCAGGAGACTTGACCCAGCTGTTTAGAGCATTTAGAGCATTTGTAGCTTTTGCAGAGGACCCTAGTTTGATTCCAGGCACCCACATGGTGCCTAACAAACATTGGCAACTCCAGTTTCAGGGAATCTGTCATTTTCTTCTGACCTTCCCCAACACCAGGAATTCTTATGGTGCACAAACATACATGAAGGGAAAACACACATATACATAAAATAAATAAAAATCTAGTCTTTTATGTGAAGATAACAGCCACAGATCAGAAACATCAGGGGGTGGGGGATGCCTGTACTTAAACAGGTACAGACTTCTTTCCTGTTAACAATACAATGTGACTATTACTATTAGGAAAACAAGCAGTCTAGAATGGACTAAAGTATACAGATGTGTGTACTCTATTCTATAGAAGAGACCTGAGCATTCTTGGACTTTGGTATCCTAGGAAACACGGCAGGAAATTTGCCTGAATTTGTTGTGAGGATTGAGTTAACTCAGAGCCCTCAGGAAAGCCCGGCACATAATCTCAGAACGTTTTTTGGTAACTATCATGAGTGTCTGAAATGAAGTCTACAAGGCAGGGAGAGAGTGCCTTGAAACAATTTCTCTTAGAAAACCGCTAGTGGGGATTCATAGCTTGGACTCTTGGACTGAGCAGGAATTGAACAGATTAGGTGGCTCATCGCTGTGGTAAACTGCCTTTGGCTTGGTTTTCCCACCTGGGAATAGAGGCAGTTTTTGCGTGGAGGGAGGGTCTCCTACCAGCTCGGGCTGGTCTGGAACTTGTTGCCCCAACAAGGATGACCTCCAGCGCTTGTTTCTCCTGCCTCCACCTCTCAAGGGCTAGAATCACAGGCTTGTGCACCACACCCAGCTCAAGAAGAGCAGTATTAGAATTATTTGTGGGATTGTGTGAGAACTGAAAATTAATCATTGTGGAGTGCCTGGATGAGGGCTTAGCTTAAGGAATTTGATAAATTAATCTTCTTGCCACTGAATATAGTTTCTCTTTTTAATTTTTGAAGCATAGCTTCACTCTGTCCAGAATGGATCACACTTCTCAATTTCACTCTGTAGATGAAGGTGGCCTTGAATGCCTGATCTTATTTCCACCTCCCAAGTGCTGGGATGACAGGAGAACACCCAACTCCTCCTCTATTAAAAAGGAGGAAATGGAATCTCTAGGTGAGCCAAATGTCCCTTCTATCCAGAGAATTCTGAATCAGATTTTCAGTGAAAGCCATACTGGGAGAAGGTTGGCTGGCACCCATTTGTAAACTCAGCCAGTACTCTGGAGCCTGGCTCCAGACAGAGAGAAATCCTGATTCAAAACATTTTTAACATATACAATTTAAAAACAATATTTAAAACATTTACATGGCTGCTTTCTGATTGGATTTAAGACCTCTGGGAGATGAGATGGAACCTATCAGCAGAACACAACATCTCTCCCCACAAGGCTGAGGGACGGAGAGAGGGAGAGACTGAAAGACCAGAAGCAGTGGATAACTACAAATAAACTGTTTTCTGGACACAACGGGAAAATTGACTGCAATGAGCTCACGGAGATTGTGAGAGCATGCACAGGGTGTTCAAGCTAGACAAAATTCTAGCCTGAGAGCTGGGAAACCAGCGTTCCACTCCTAGCTAAGGGGCTGCTGGCACTGGATAGCTACTAGGAAAGAATCAGTTTTAAGGATATGGCCTCTTGCAGGTGAATCAGGATCCAGGACAGGTTCACACCTAATAGTGATGCTCTTCCAGAGGACCTGGGTCGAATTCCCAGCATCCACATGGCAACTCAAGACATCTGTAACACCAATCCCAATCTCCTATACTCTTTCCAGACCTCCATCCGGCACCACGCACGTGGTGCACACACATACAAAATACACATACACATAAATAATAAAGATACAAGATTTAAAATTAAAATAAAGTAACATTAACAAAACCTTAAGTGACTCAAGATTGCTGTAATGGTGGCAGAGACTAGGGAACCGAGGGGAGGACCTCCATGGCAGGTCAATCCGCTCAATAGAAGGATCGGTACCTCAACCCTCTCTCCTTAGTCTCCCAACCCAGCTGAGCCTAGCATCTATTCTAGGAATCTGAAAGGAAAAAAAAAAATAAGGAGCGGGGAGGGGACCGAGGAGGCTCTTGGGAGACCCCTAAGCGCTTCTCCCATCGATTTTGGCCCGAAAGCATCTAGGCGGCCCTTGGCCGGCGCACCTCACGCAGCAGTGGCTCAGGACGGCCAAGCTGAGTCACTGCGGAGGGCACCTACCCAGCCCCAGCGCCCTAGGGCGGCCCGCAGCGATGGGGCGTGGCAGAGGCGGGATCTGGGCGGGCCGGCGAGCCCCCCCTTGCTCCGCCCCTAAAGCTTTGACAACACTCCCCGCGGCTGCTGGGGCTTAAGAGGAACAGGAAAGGGCGGAGCTGTTTGGTGGCTAGTTACTAAGCTATCGTCAACCACAAGGAAGGGTAATCGGTGTCTCCAGCGCTATCCCGGGGGCCTGAGGGCCAGTGAGGGCCTCGGCCTGTGGCCTGGAAGGGCGATCCAGTCCTGTCTACGAAGCCTGGCAATGCCCCACCACGGAGTGTCATCCGGCCAGGGCTACCTCAGAGCCGGCTGGGAGCAGAGGCTGGAGAGGTCCTTACCGGCACCCAGGTTGGGACTCCTTTGGATGGGGCTGGGCCTGGCGCTGGTACTGGCTCTGTTTGACTTTATGGTTCTCTGGGCTCCTGCCAGAGCTTATCCTCTTCCTGCCCAAGGCAGTGCCATAGTGCCCCCACTCCAGAGCGCCTTTGGGTGGAGGAACCTCACCTGTCCGGCCTGCAAAGCCTTATTCACTGCTCTCAACTATGGGCTGAAGGTGAGCGCTTGGAAGGGCTGTGGTGGAATGCCGGGGGCAGGGTGAGGTGCTTCTTATGCAAACGTGTTACCACCACTGTGACCTTTGTAAAGTAAAGCACAAGCTTTTAATGATACCAGACCCTGAGCTAAAGGGCAGGTAGGCAAGGGCCTGGAGCTACCTGAGCTGCCAGGCAGTATGTTGGAGGCACTGATGTCTCTTTATCATGGTGACACCGAGGTCTTCCTAGCCCTGATTTAGACACGGACGCCTGTGGAGTGGTGGCCAGGGTTCATTTGTTCTGTCTCTGACCTCTTATCATTGGTCCCTTCTACCACAGAAGGAGCCCAACGTGGCACGGGTAGGCTCTGTGGCCATCAAGATGTGCAAGATGCTGAACATAGCGCCGGTAAATGTCTGCCAGTCAGCTGTCCATCTCTTTGAGGATGACATGGTGGAGGTGTGGACACGTTCCGTTCTGAGCCCGTCTGAAGCGTGTGGCTTGCTTCTGGGCCCCTCTTGTGGGCACTGGGACATCTTTTCAACCTGGAACATCTCTTTGCCATCAGTGCCGAAGCCACCCCCAAAGCCACCGAGCCCACCAGCCCCCGGTGCCCCCGTCAGCCGCGTCCTCTTCCTTACTGACCTACACTGGGATCATGATTACCTGGAGGGCACAGACCCTAATTGTGCAGATCCACTGTGCTGCCGCCGGGGCTCTGGATGGCCGTCCACCTCCCAGGCGGGTGCCGGGTACTGGGGCGAGTACAGCAAGTGTGACCTGCCCCTGCGAACACTAGAGAGCCTGCTGAAGGGGCTGGGCCCTGCCGGCCCTCTGGAGATGGTGTACTGGACAGGAGACATCCCTGCCCACGACGTCTGGCAGCAGTCTCGCCAAGACCAGCTGAGGGCCCTGACCACCATCACAGACCTCGTGAGGAAGTTCTTGGGGCCTGTGCCGGTGTACCCTGCCGTGGGCAACCATGAGAGCACCCCTGTCAATGGCTTCCCTCCCCCCTTCATAAAGGGAAACCAGTCTTCACAATGGCTTTATGAAGCCATGGCTAAGGCATGGGAGCCTTGGTTACCAGCTGACGCCCTTCACACCCTCAGGTACTCACTGGCCCTGGAAACCAGGAAGCAAGATAAAAGATGGAGGAGGGGGAAGGAGAAAGGAACTGGGTGGACTGTTCTAGCAAGTGTCCTTAACACTCTCCACTGCCCTCCCTAACCTGACCCCACCTTCCCTTTTCCTGTCTCCAGACTCCCTCTTTTCAGAGCTAGCAGCACATTGCCACACCCTAGCTTGTGTCTTTGTTTGGGGTAGTGCTCTCTTTAAAAGGAATTCTCCTCCCCTTTGAATATCTCCCACTTTTCTCAACTTGACCAGGCCTTCGATGTCTGCCCTCAGAAAGGCCTTTGTTCCCTCACTCGCTTGAATCTCTGTCCTGAGCTCCTGGCACCCTCAGCCCTCTGAGCCCTCTTTACTGTCAGAGCAGCCCTGTAATTACTGCTGCTTGGTCTCGAGCTAGGACGGGAGCTCCTGGAGGTGGGAGATGACGTCATGTGTGCCTCTGCCTGGCTCAGAACCAGGGGTGCAGGATTGGGATTGTATTGACACCTCATATTTACTTTTGTTTCAGAATTGGGGGCTTCTATGCCCTCACCCCACGCTCTGGCCTCCGCCTCATCTCTCTCAATATGAACTTTTGTTCCCGTGAGAACTTTTGGCTCTTGATCAACTCCACAGACCCTGCAGGGCAACTCCAGTGGCTGGTAGAGGAGCTTCAGGCTGCTGAGAATCGAGGAGACAAAGTAAGGGCGGGTGTTCCGAACCTGGTGGAGTAGGTGCCTTTGGGGCCGCAGAGAAGCAGGCTGCTGTGGAGCTGAGGCCTGTGAAGAGGGGAGCGTCACTCCACTTCCTGGAACTCCGGTGTTCCCTGGAGTCCGTGGTCACTCTCAGACATCATATAATCCACCCGCTGCCACTATCCCCACAGCCGCCTGGGTTTCCTCATGCTCTAACTGCCCTGACTTTTCCCTTCAGGTGCACATAATTGGCCACATACCTCCAGGGCATTGCCTCAAGAGCTGGAGCTGGAATTATTACAAAATTATAGCCAGGTAAGGGGGATAGAGGGCTTGGGTGTGGAAACTGAGGGTTGAAATCCCCTCAAGAGCCAGGCCGTGGTGGCACATGCCATTAATCCCTGCACTCTTGAGTTCAAGGCCAGTCTGCTCTACAAAAGTGAGTTCCAGGATGGGCCTCCCTCTGAAAAACAAAACCCAGCAGTTCTCGAAGGCCTCACATCCCACAGCGAGCACTTCTCCGTGGGGTGGAGGCTCTCCTCTGCAAGTTGGAGAACAGCTACCCTGACTCCCCAGGTCTACCCAGCCTCCTTTCTGCCTCCCTACAGTCTCTGACTATGACTGTCTCTGAGCAGGTATGAAAACACTCTGGCTGGTCAGTTCTTTGGCCACACTCACGTGGATGAGTTTGAGGTCTTCTATGATGAGGAGACTCTGAGCCGGCCACTTGCTGTAGCCTTCCTGGGGCCCAGTGCCACCACCTATATCAACCTTAATCCTGGTGAGTGGGGCAGAAGGGAACATTCTCTATCCTGAGGCTGGTGAGACAGAAAGGGTTCTAAGCTGAAGCAGGCCCTTCCTAGAGCTGCCTCTGTTCCCTTCTTCCCACTCACACCTTCTTTCTTACAGGTTACCGAGTTTACCAAATAGATGGAAACTACCCCGGAAGTTCTCACGTGGTCCTGGACCACGAGACCTATATCCTGAACCTGACCCAGGCCAACACACCGGGAGCCACACCAAACTGGAAGCTCCTCTACCGGGCTCGAGAAACCTACGGGCTTCCAGATGCACTGCCTGCCTCCTGGCACAACCTGGTCTACCGCATGCGAGACGATGAGCAACTCTTCCAGACCTTCTGGTTTCTCTACCATAAGGGCCACCCGCCTTCAGAGCCCTGTGGCACACCCTGCCGCCTGGCCACTCTGTGTGCCCAGCTGTCAGCCCGCGCAGACAGCCCTGCTCTGTGTCGACACTTGATGCCCAATGAGAGCCTCTCAGACAGCCATAGGTTGTGGTCAAGGCCCCTGCTGTGCTAGTGTTCCAGGCACCAGAGTGGGGAAGTTCATGTGTTAGGAAAGGGACACACTCCTGAGTATTGCTGAGTCAACCCGAGGCAAAACTTCTGGGGAAAGGGTGCCCTGTCAGGCCAGGGAGCAAGCCTTCTCCTGGAGAGCTTGTTTGGCTAGACTGGGGGAGGGTTTGGCTGCCCTACCTATGCCCCAAATCTGGATTCCCCTGGGGCTGGATGTCTTCTCCAGGCCACAGAGATGAGATCTTGGTGCCCTGGATACGCAGGGAGGAGCTGCTGCCCCAGCCTGTGCTGTGCACCTGTGAACTCTGTACTGCTGCTTGATCCTGCCGGGATGTCAGAATAAAGAGACTTGGACTCCAGATTCCACTGCCCCAATGTCTCCCCAGACAGGCAGGGACACAGCAAGACACACAGCAGCGCAGACAAACTTTATTAGTGATATCAGTACAGCGGGAGGTGCCCGCAGGACAGTGGGGAGGGGATCCATGCCGAGACCAGTCCCCTCCTGCCCCTGCTGGGCCTTTGAGGATGGGGCCTGGCTTGGACCGATTCCTCCTGCTCCACCTCAAACACTGGGGATGAGATGCTTCCAGCCCCTCATGTCATCAGTCCAGTGTGACTTCTGTGAAGGAATTCAATTTCTCTCTCCCAGCCCCTTGGTAAGGAACCCCAGCTACTGGCGGGTCAGCCCAGGGAACATGAGGTATTAGGAACAGCATTCAGAGCCCCTACCTGCCCCAAACCCTTGAGTTCCCTGGGGCCCAACACAAGCAGGTGGAGGGAGGATGGGAGTTCTTCATGGGGTCTGGGATCCTAGACGTTTGGGCTTGAGGGAACCCCACAGTGACTGAACACCCCTGCGGACAGTCCACCCTACACGTCTTGCAACTGACTCCGCAGGGGGTGCTGGGAGGCAGGAGGTGGAGGTCTGGGAACGGGCATCCAGACACTTCTGGTAGCGGAGCTGCCAAGAAGCAAAGGGTTGGTCAGTCTCCACCTCAGCCCCGTGAGGTCAATCTGCTATCCCACTACCCAGCCTACTTACCATGCATGCAGCCTGCACAGCCTCTGAGAGGCTGGCAGCATTGGGCTCGCACCAGAACATGTGACAGCAGAAGGAGGCTGGGCCGGCAGCCATGATGAATGCGAAGGTGTGCACGTCTCTGCCCACAGCCAGGAAGGAGAGGAACCGCACCCGGCACTCCCCCAGCACTGCTTCAGTCTGCAGGGGAGGCACCCAGTTAAAAAGGAACAGCCCCTACCCCTGTTCTAAGAGGCACACCCTTTTGACTGGCACCTCTTCCCCTCATGGCAAAGCTCAGTCACCCCAGCTCTTTACCTGCTGGTGCAAGATGGTGAGGGTAGCAGGGGCCACGCTGACGTGACTTGGGGTCCACTGCTCACGGCTACTGGAGGACAGGACTGACTCAAGGGCCCCGTTAATCACATCTACCCCTGGAAGATACGAACACAAACATGCAAAACAGGGTAGAAAGAAGACAGCCCAGCTCTGACTGTCAAGCCCAGTGCTGCAGTGCCCTCTCACCAGAATGTAGCCCGAGTACACTGCTGTCCAGGTACCCTCCTGGGCACTCTCCTCAACTTCCGTGACTCCTGACCCGTTTTTGTTTGTCCTATCTTGAATCTTGCTTTTCTTCACTGATTCTGTCTCTTACTTCAGCCTCCTAAATGGACGGACCCCTCCCCACTGAGTTCTGACTTCTCCATGTTACTCTGCATATTCAAACATTACATGGCTTCTTTCACATAACAGTGCCTTCCAATCAGCCAGGCCAGTCCTCTCTCTCCAGACCCAAACCTTTTGTTTTGAAACAGGTTTTCTCTATGTAGCTCTGGTTGTCCTGGAACTCACTCTCTAGACCAGGCTGGCCTCACAGAGACCTGCCTGTCTCTGCCTCCCAGAGTGCTGGGATCATAGGCATGTGCCACTGCACCTGGCCTAAACTTTTTTTTAATCCTTAATTTAATATTTATTTGTTGTGTGTGCATGGAGGTCAAAGGATAACATGCAAGAGTTAGTTCTCTCCTTCCACCATGTGGATCCAGATTGAACTCAGGGTGTCAGGCCTGGCTGCAAGTGCCTTTACTAGCTGATCCACCTCCTGACCTTGCTTTTCTGCTTGGTTTGGGTTTTGTTTTATTTGTGAGACAGAGTTTCACTATGAGTTCAAAACCTGGTCTACATATGGAGTCCAAGCCAGCCAAAGCTACGTAGTGAGACCTTGACTTCAGAGAAAAAACAGTAGTTGGAAAAGCAAGCAGCTCAACAGATGGGGCTGGCTGTGGGGCTGCACAACTTCCCAGCACTCTGGGGCAGCAGAGCTCTGTGAGATTCAGTCTGGCCTGATAATGGTGAGTTCCAGGACACACACACACACACACACACACACACACACACACACACACACACAGGAGGTTCAACAGGAGTGAAGGAGAACAAGAGATGGTAAGGGAAGGTGAATATTAATAAAGTACATAATATACATGTATGGAAATGTCAGTGAAATTCAGTATTATGTATAACACATAAAAACATTCAAATGAAAACAAAGTGGCCTCTCTGGAAGTGGTGGTGCACATCTGTAATCTCAGCACTTTCCCCAGAGACAGGAGAATCACTGTTTAAGCCTAAAACTAACATAGTGAGTTCCAGGCCATTCACGGCTACATTGCAAGACCTTGTCTCAAAATCACAATCAAACAATCTCATAATGGCCTCCTCCACCTCAAACTGCTTGAAAGTTCTATAAAACAATTTCATTCCTCCACCTCAAACTGCTTTTAAAGTTCTATAAAATCCCAGCACAGGGAAGGCAGAGTCAGGAGGATCACCAGCCTAGTCTAAACAAGTTTCAGTTAGAGCTACTTGAAGAGACAGATGTGTGTGTGTTGGGGAAGAGAGGTATTTAAATTTGAGTGGGAAGATGTCCTAAGGACATAGTCTATATGATTAATGGCCAAGTCTCCTTTCCATTGCCTAGCTCAGAATTCCTCATTCACATCCTAGGTTCCAAGACATGAAAAGACACACCAGAGAGAAAAGAACTCTTTTGTAATTGTTTTCAAGGCAGGGTTTCTCTGTGTAACCTTGGCTGTCCTGGGACTTGCTCTGTACACTAAGCTGGCCTTGAACTCACGGAGAGCTGTCTGCCTCTGCTCAGCTTCAGAGACAACTCTTCTACATTTGACTGTGGTCATCTCAAGGACAGAGACCCAGTGAAACTGGATTTTGATTCCCAGTCTTCACCAAGGGCTTATCTGCTGAAGATTTCGGGAACATGGATGTCACCCTCAAGGAAGCATGGGCAAATGCAGGGAAAGGGGAAGTCTAATAACACAGGAGTGCACAGGAGGATGATGACACAGGAAGGAGCAGATGGGCCGAGGCATGCTGCAAGAGCCTCAAACACAAGGCAGAATGGTGTAATGTCTATGACATTTAAACTGAATCACTGGTGAGTTCAAAGGTCTTGGAGGTGGAAGGATCACCAAGGTCAAAATGAAGAATATGCAGATGATGTTGGGTTGGAGCCTGACTTCTGAGGTGGTCTAGAAAAAGGCAGCTGGTTGGGTGTGGTGGTGCACAGCTTTAATCCCAACACTTGGGAAGCAGAGAGAGGCAGATATGTGAGTTCAAGGCCAGGCTGGTCTACAAAGGGAGTTCTAGGAAAGCCAAGGGTACACAGAGAAATCCTGTCTTGCAAAAAAGGGGAGAGGGGATGGGGAAGCGAGGGAGAGAGGGAGAAAGGAGAGGCAGCTAAGTAGCTGAATTTTGTAGCTCAGGGTTAAAACCTGCACGCTCACCAGCCCTACACCATTTCCCCTTATCCTTCCATGCATTTCCACCCCCAGAACAGCTGTTACTTTCAAACATACCATGCAATGCACTTCTTATTGTTTATCTCTCCTTGCTAGATGTAATCCATCTGAATGACAGAATCACGGTCAGTGCAGTTCACTGATGTACGCTAAGAATTAGAACAATGCCTGGCACAAGTAAGATATGCACGAACAATCTACTGGGCTGATGGATGAGCACTGTAACTTCACGAGAAAGACAATGTTTTAAAAAGTGGAGGTGGTGGCACACCTGTGATCCCAGCACTCGGGGAGGCAGAGGCAGGTGAATCGATGTGAGTTTGAGGCCAGCCTGGTCTACAAAGCGAGTCCAGGACAACCAAGGCTACACAGAGAAACCCTATCTCGAAAAAAAAGGGGCGGAGGGTATAAAAGGGGAGTACAGGGTTGCTATGATAACTCAGCTGACTTGCCACACGAGCCTAAATGTGAGTTTAATCCCCAGAATCCATATAGAGGTGGAAGGAGAGAACAGATTTCTCAAAGTTGTCCTCAGACTTCCATAGATGAACGAACACACACATACACACACACACACACACACACACACACACACACACACACACACACA